GGCAGTGTAGTGAGTTATATAAGCAGGGACACCTGGAACAAGTTTAATTGTGCGTGTTTATGAGTGTGCATAGATGGACTGATGCCTGTGTTTTTATGTCTGCGTCCACCAGAGCCTACATCTAATGCACAACTACAATACACTAATGGCAGTGGTGGGGGGGCTGTGTCACAGCTCCATCTCCAGGCTGAAAGACACCACCTCTCATGTTCCCAATGAGGTCACTAAGGTGAAGTTTGGTTGTTTTTTTAAAAAAATATTTTACCAAGAAGAGTCGTGTACAGTTTTGAATGAATTATCCAGATAAATTCTTAGAATATTCAAAACAAACTACAGAGTGTATGGAGGCTCAGTGCTACTTCATTTTAGTATTTTACATCCATTTAGGATTCAAACCTGATTGTTCATTTACTTGATGGGAGGTCTCAGGCTCTCTAAGGACCTGGACGACTGCATTCCCAACATATTTTGAGCCACATACTTTACGCGACACCAGATAAAAATGATTAAAACAATGAAAAACCTGCTCCTGTTTAGTTGAACAACACGCTAATAGATACTAATAGATCGATACACAGATAGATAAATAGATATTTTTTACTCCCTTGGGACTTCCCTTTGGGAGATTAAGGCTCCAGCAGTAGTACAGCACCAAAGACAACAGTAAGAACACAACACAGATAAGTAAAGTACAAGTATATACTCGCAGGAATTGAAGAAAGACACACACGACGATATTCTTCAACACTTTTGAGCCTCTCTGTTTTGTTCATCTGCTGCCACCTAGTGAAATAGTATTTATTTGTTCTGCTCGACACAAATTATGTGCAGTAAATAGATAATAAATCTCAGACCAATTTAGTGAAATTGTTTTTCATGAAACACCTGACGAACTCTCTTAGTTAAGATTTGAACTAACTATACCTGGACAAACGTTTTCATCATTTAACTGGTAAAACAGAAAAAACAGAGTCCCTATAATCATAATATTGTCTTAGAACTGGATTATTTAAATCCACTCAGTAAACTGTTCTATTAAAAATATCTAAAATTCTGTTGTCCTTCCTGCAGGTACTAAATGAAATGACAGACCTGCTGTCCTCGTGCAGAAACTTTGACAACTACAGACAGGCTTACAACAAATGCACAGGCTTTAAAATCCCGATCTTGGGCGTCCACCTCAAGGACCTGATTTCGGTCAATGAGGCCAGGTCCGACTACGTGGAGGACAACAAGGTCAATGTCCAGAAGCTCCAGGCACTCTACAGCCACATAAACGAGCTGATCCAGCTCCAGCAGATCCCACCCAGGCTGGACGCAAACAAGGACCTGGTCCATCTGCTGACGGTAGTGAACCCTTCAGCTAGAATCCTTAACAAATTGTTATGTAGCTCGCCGTGAGTCATTTTATTGTGTTGAGCACAAGCACGGATGCAAATGAGTGCGATACAGCATGTGGACCGTGTGCGATGGTGTGGGTGTGATGAGAGTCTATGATCCATGAATGTGTGGGTGACAGACGGAGTGTGAATGAGAGCGAGTAGAAATTGCCGTATTGTCGTACGTTGCATGTGTGCCGCGATTTAATCGTACTTGAACGACAGAATGTCCGTGAAGAGATAATAGTTAGCCTGTGACCCGCGGTGGCCCTCAACACAACATGTTTCGAGGACATACATATTGGAGAGACAAAGAGAGCTCATTGTCGTTGTGTTTACCAGCCTGCTGCTGATATGTACTCACTCCCTGCCCACAGCTGTCCCTGGACCTGTACTACACCGAGGATGAGCTCTACGAACTGTCCTACACCAGGGAGCCCAAGAACTGCAAAGCACCCGTGAGTGACGGAAGCAACCGGAAAAACACCTGAATTAACAGTCTCACTGAGTAAAAAAACAAAACACTTTACAGTCAACAGATGGTTTATCTGGATTTTAAAATTCAAACATCTGTCCTGGTCATTTGCTAACAATCTAAATAAACATTAGATATACCTGTAAAATATTTTTTTACCTTATATCAAACCCTGAATAAATTTTCAAGGTAAATAATAATATTTTTTTTACCTTATATCAAACCCTGAATCTTGGGATGGTGCTCAAAGTGAGGGGAGGGGCCCCCTTAAGGGGCACGGTGCTCCAGCATGGGGGCCGCAACAAGGCAAATACATTTCAGTTGTGACATTCGCACTGGCTTGTATTGTTATTATTTAGTTAAATAATAGTGTAGTAGTTAAACAGCAGATTTGTAGGAATTATTGACTAGTATAAGGGAATGACCCCAAAAAAAATAAAAAATATGTTTGTACATGGCTAAGGAGGATACAGTATATAGACAGGTCTGAATAAATAATTAACAAATAACTGACGTCAATAAAAATGGAGGTCATCGTTGTCCATTTACCCACGGTACTTAATTCATGCATCACTCTATAGTTCTAACCCTAAACCTCTTTTTTCTCAAGTTCAGTCTTTATTAACTTTAAGTATTGTATTTTCCAGACTAGCCAAAAAAGTCGCACTAGCCAAAAAATGGATAATGAAGAAGAAAAAAACATATATAAGGCGCTCCTGAGTATAAGTCGCACCAGCCAGCTACAGTGCCCTCTACTGGCTCTCATTGTGAAAATAAACGTGAAATGATACATTTTAATATATAGGTCGCACCTGAATATAAGTCGCAAACCCAGACAAAAAAAGTGCGACAAATAGTCCAGAAAATGCAGCAACACAAAATATTTGCCTAACTGGAACTTCTAATTCTAGCAAATGGCTGAATGTTTAGTTACCGACCATATTCCTGTGCCTTGTCAGCTTGTTTTACTGACTCTCCCCTCCTCTAACCAGCCAGCCACCCCCTCTAGACCTCCAGTGGTTGTGGACTGGACCTCAGGAGTGGCTCCCAAACCTGATCCTAGGACCATCAGCAAACACGTGCAGAGGATGGTGGACGTAAGTGCGTCCGTTTGAACACATCGCCCGCTCTTGCAGTCGGTACCAGTTGAATTACGTGGTTAAGTGTTCTGGCCTCTTGACTTTCACAGTCGGTGTTCAAGAACTATGATCACCACCAGAACGGCTTCATTTCTCAAGAGGACTTTGAGAAGATCGCTGCCAGCTTTCCTTTTTCCTTCTGTGTCATGGACAAAGAGAAGTGAGTGTTTGACAGGTCACACACACACACACACACCCTCACCCACCCACTCTCTCTCTCTCTCTCTCCCCTGTCTTGTTCATGACTCCATTGAAGAGGAAGCAAAAAACAGTGTTGCAGCGGGTAAAGGAACAGGAAATAAAAAAAAAAAGAAAAGAAAAGAAATAGCTGCAGAACTAACCATAAAAACCACCTGCAAATATTTACTCACTCTTCTCACACACACACTGAGGGGCGTGTGATTCATCAGGGTCTGAAGCTAGATCTAAAGTAGAATGCAGATCATGTTTCCACGTGTTCACCCATCACAGAAACGATAAACTGTGAACAGGAACCACTGAGGTCAACTGTTCTGTCGTCTTCTGCTGTGGTTCTTCCAGGCAGGGTCTCGTGAGCAGGGAGGAGATCACGGCCTATTTCATGAGGGCCAGTGTCATCTGCTCCAGACTGGGACTCGGGTTTGTCCACAATTTCCAGGAAACCACTTACATGAAACCCACTTTCTGCGACAACTGCTCCGGATTTGTGAGTCTGCACAAAAATCCAAGTGTCAACAGTGAATGGTGAAAACAATGCTCCATGACATCTGTGTGTGTGTTTCCTCCACAGCTGTGGGGTGTCATCAAGCAGGGCTACAGGTGCAAAGGTGACTACGGCCTTTTTTACACTTGTGTTGTGTTCAATGTTCACCGTGTTTTTTGTCGGCCCAGCCTTAGTGACTACTTACACCTCACGCACACTGAAGAAACACACAGTGTCTTGTGGCTTACTGGTAAAGTCGAGCTACTCTAGGAAAGTGTCCTGCGGTTTTCTGTGTTGCGTATTTTGAGACGATGTTTGCATGATGGAGTTTGCAGTCAGAACCACAGCCACCTCCCCCCCCACCTCTGTCTTTCATGAGACACAAGAGCAATTGTTTTTGCTTGACATGAAACGCATGAAGTCTGAGGGCTGCGTCTGCAGAACATGAAGTGTACAGTGTTGTCAGTGATGTAAGACCGACGCCTGTTCTGACTTGTTGAACATTCTTCTGTCTGCACAGACTGTGGGATGAACTGCCACAAGCTGTGCAAGGACCAGGTGGCGTTCGAGTGCAAGAAGAACGCCAAGGCGGCGAACGCCATCGACAGCCCCACACCGAGCTCCACGCCTGTCACCGCAGGTGTCCTCGAGGGTGGGTCCACGTCATTCACACAAACCTATACACTGAATCAGACCATAATGACGAGAACCAGGGATGTAAAATCGGCCCAATATTATTGGCCGACTTCCTCCAATGATGAAAACCCGATAATGCAATGCCTGAGTTTTTGCCAAATACTCTAAAGTTGCTTGTGGGATCCCGAGACGTTTTGGGGGCAAACTGCTGCAAATATCGCTATCGGTTGATATCGGAATTGGAAGTGTTTAAACAATGTCGGAGTATTGGATATAAAGTTAATATTGGACATCCCTGAAGATAACATAGTCGTCACATCGCATTTGGGAAACATGCCACCTGGTGGCTTAGAGTAGTTTTACCAATGGAAAAATCGCTGCCAAAAAATGACAATTATGAGCTAATGTAATTGTTGTTATTGTTGGAACACGTTAGCTTTTCTTAGCGTTAAGGACTGAAGCAAGAGTTGTTATGGATGAAGGAGAAGACTTAACGCTTTGAAAGAAAACTAGTTTGCAAAATTTGCAAAAAACAATTACCACAGTGGCAAAATTTAAATTAGTGTTGATATTTAAACGGGGGCCAGATGCATAGAGTTCATGTGCCAGAAGTGGCCCCCGAGCCGGGAGTTTGAGGCCCCTTCAACTGAAACAAAAATGCAAATAATGCAGAAGGGTAACTTCAGTGCATCTGGTGTTTGAAACCATGAAGAAAAAAACATCGTCCAATAAGGAGCAGAGAAAGGTCTTGTTGAACAGTACTGCAGTAACCTGGAGAGTACTAATCCATAAAGAACTGTCTTTAGAAGGTTGAGTACAGTAAATGAACTAAACTCTGAATTAAACATCTTGAAAAAAGTCTGAAATATTCAGCAACAAGTGAACACAACTGGAGGTTGGAGAGGTTTGAGTTTCTGCAGGGATTTTAAATCGCTGATAAATGCTAGTTTTTTGTGGCATTATCATTCGTAGCCTTTAGCCTTGAAAAGCTGTGACGTCAAACTCTGGTGTCGGGGTGATTTCCCTTTCACTTACAGTAAAGCTGCAGCGCCCACTGCTGCAAAAAAAGCAACTAAAAATAGATTTAAATAAGTTTCAATTTCAGTTTTAATATGGCCAACAAAATTATTTTTAACAAAGGTTGTTCCTTCACTATCGTCCTGTTACCCATACATTTGTCAGTACTCTTTCTCAGGATTACATTCATAATTATTTTTCTACTCTGTCACTGTCCAGGTTCAGAAGAATGTCCCTTCCCTTATCCACTGCACGACAGCAAAGACTGCAGCCCAGACTCCCCCGTCACCCCCAGCTCCAGGCCTCACACCGTCCACAGTGGAACCCAAACCGAGGGGCCTCAGGTATTTGCTGCAGCTCCAGAAGCCTGTCGCATACAGCCGTGTCTGTTAGTCCCAGCCGCCCCGCCCCTCACCTCGTGTCCCAGCCCAGTGCCCCAGAGGAAGCAGCGACACTGCGCTAAGTGGGAAAACAGAGCTTCAGTTGTGCAGACGGCTAAAGAGCCAGAGGAAGACAAACCTTCATACGAATCTCTGGAAACAGTGAGTATCTCCATCATGCTCACACTTTTCTGCTACATTGTACTGAGATATGCAACGTGCTACGTCACGTCAACCTGGTCTGCGTGTTTTCCAGGACAACCTGAGGCTGCAGAAAACCAATGAGACACTACTTAGGAAGCTGAAGGAGACGGAGAGGGAGGTGGAGATACTGAAAACACTGCTGAAGAGACACGCGCTCCACCCCGTGGAGGAGGACTCCTCATCATAGACATCTGTTGGGAGACTGCTGCTGCCCCCACGTGGTCGAATGTAATAATTACATTTGTGACTAGGACTGATTGTACAATTCCATTCATATCAGTTTGGCCATTTTGATTCCAGCATGAATACTTGATAAGATAAATGCTAGAAAGGCTAGCATTTTGTGCAAAGCCTAAGATTTTTTTTTAATTTCTGACATATTTATTTTAAAAGATTGTAATTCTAAAAACAAAAAAAAAAAAGTGCAGCAGAAAGTAATGCACCATTTCCTAGACTGACAATGTTGTTCCTAAAGTATTAAACATTTAACCTTTTTTTAGAGAGAGAGAGAGAGCAAGCCTGGTCAGAATTAGAGGCATGACAATATTTGTAGAAAAAAAAAACCCTAACCCTAACCCTCAAGTTGTGACCCACAAGAACCATCCCTACTGCCCACATCTGGGTCACACCCTACATTTTTAGAAACAACATTAAAGATTTTCTTATTAAAAAAATACATCAGTAAAACAAATGAAGGAATGAATCAAAGTCGCAGTATTGTAAAAAATAAGAATACAACTGTGTATGTGTATTAATGGATTATATATTTGTTATTAATATCAATATTATTATTATTATAATTAATCAATCGCCTTAGCTGATTTCGGTGGTCGTTCTTGTCTGTGTACATATAGGATTTCACTGTGTATGTGAGTATTTATTATTTCAAACACTACTGGTGGCGACAGGAGAGTGAGATAAGTCAACACTTTGTACAGTGTGCTGGTACCTTTCACTGTTTATTTATGCTTGTGTGTCTGTGCAGCCGTGTCATTCACTGTAGCAGTGTTGTGTTCAGAGCCAAAGTCAGTATGAATGTCATGTATAATGTACTGTAAATACAAAGTATACGCTGTGTCGCTGTTGCTCCAGCCCCGTCCTCTGTTCACTCCTAATAAACTATCCTACACAACAGCCTCAACTGTAATACTCAATATAAACACTGGAGGTCGCCAAAGCGTTATAAATCTATGGAGAGTTTTTTTTTAATCGCAACGAAATCTAAACATCGATTTTTTTAAGGGGGTGTTAGAGCTGGGTTTGAAAGATTTGAATTGTTTTGGCACTCGTTCAGTGTTCTGGAAGTTTTGTTCCAGGAGTTTGGAGCATAAAAACTGAAAGCCCAGTCCTGGTTCTGTGTCTCTTTCTTCAGAGTTCCCAAATCATTTAACCGTTAAATGTCTGTGTCAAACATGCGGGCCGTGGGTCAAAACTGGGCCGCTTGATGAATTTTGAAAATCAAACAGTACACATCATGTTCAGGAAAGGTTTTGTAAAATTATTATAATTATTTATAATCACATACAATTAAGATTTTTCCTATATACTTGCAGACTCGTTATTTATGTTATGATTCTCTAGACCACTTGACATCTTCGTTATTTATTTTATGATTCTCTAGACCACTTGACATCTAATGTATGCGGCCCCTGAATCAAAATGAGGTTTAATGATAATATTTAGTGCGTACCGTCACAGGCCTGAACTGTACGTGACCTTGGTGCAGAGATGTCAAATAAAATTTTTATTATGATATTTTTAGCTGGTGGACTTTTCTGGAAGTGATCTCTGTATTTCTAGACTTTCATAAATGAATTCCCATTTATTACTTTTCACAGAATTAATCCATCTCCCTCACGCGCCGTTTCCATCAAATTAGAGCTAAAGATGTCTGACATTTGCTAGATTTTTGTACCGATGAGACGTCTTGTCAAGACAAAATGGACAGACAGTGTGACACAAGGCTTTAAAAGACAGTCTTCATTACATCCTTACCACTGAAGACTGTGTCAATCTGCCTCTTACTCCGGGCTTAGCTGCTCATAATGAGCACCACTCTTCAGTTATGGTCTGTCTGTGGATAATGAGAACACTGGTGTCGGCTGCAGTAGAAGCAGAGATTCAAACCAAGAGCCAAATCCTCCAGATTCTTTACATTTCTTTCAGCCGCGGCGCAATTACCAGGTGATTTCACACTGCTATTCATGGCACCGTGGTCCAGTCGCTGTGTGGATTTCAATGGAGGCAGCGAGTCATTTGACTCAAATTACATTGCATCTTCTTCATTTCATGCAGCCATAATGACTTGTTGCCGTACCGTGGCGGGGCAGTGAGCGGAGAAGCAGGGAATAAAGAATGATATCTGAGGCAGAGCGGCAGCTCCCAAACCCCGGCCTCGATGACAGCTAATTTACTGCTGTTTGAATGTGACACAAAGCGGCGGGAGGCTAAAACCCAGAGCCTACCATGCTCCGTGCACACCATAATGCTGCATAATTTCCAATATCATGGCTGGCTGAGAGGAGCCGTCAGAGGGAACATGTGTTAAACTCATGGGGCGATGCACCAGAAATGTTTTTTTTTTTTGTTTGTTTTTATTCTTCCCCCCTGTTTGTCGTGAGTGGAGAAATGTTGTGTTCATCCCGATGCATTTAAGCAATCATTAGAATGATAAATATAGTTAGTCTCAGATCCATTTACAGAGCCAACAGAGAATGTAAATATAATTAATTGCAGCACATTTAAGCCTGAAGGAGTTGTGAAGATGTGTGGGATAAACGATAGAGCGCTCGTACACACAGAGCAGAGATGACACTTCAAAAGTCACTCTAATTACAGTGGGCAGACGGAGATGATTTATCAGCCAGACATTGGTGCACTGGGGGGAATTCTGGCCAGACACCAATATTTAACTAAATCTGCTAAGTCCAATGAACGCACTCAGAAACCAATTAGGCAGTACGTGGATGATCCCATTATGTCCCTTTGAAAAGGCAGTCGGGGCACAGACTGCACAAAAACCGAGGCAGCACCTCTCACACAGCCGTGCTCACAAGAGCCACTAGCGAATCCGATGCCTGTAGGAAACAGAACTATTATTGAACGGAGTTCATTAGGTTCTAATGAAGGCTGGAGGAGCAACGCACACACACACAAAAAGGAAACCTCGGCAGATGTGAGGAGGGAATAGAAGAGAAGACGTTTTCTGAGGATATTTCATGTTGGCAGCTCAACAATAATGTGAAAAAAAATGTAATTAACCTTTATAAAAGCACAAGAGGAACACAAAGGAAGGGTCGTGCAGAGGGAGCACCATCACCCGTCTTTTACCCTCTTTGGGCTGTAACAATGACCAAAGTTTTTGCTCCGTACTTGTACTGACCGGCATCCAATAATCAGTTGATGCAGAACAGTGAAATAGGAAGAAGTGAAATGCCCAGAAATGAGTCTGACCCTGTGCTGAGGAAGAAGACGACATTTCCTGCAGTGAGGCCGTCGGGTTAAAAGTCCACGTCATTCCTGCAGATTAACACATCATCACATCACAACGGTCGTGTTAGGTGTAAGGTACTCACTTCCGCCGAGATTGTATCGCACAGAGCAAATACTGCAGAGGGTTAAGAAAAACAGGCAGTGAATGGACGGACACACGAGAACTTCGGAAGCGTTGGTGAAAGTGCAGCGTGGTTTTGTCCAGAGCATGTTTAATGCATCTCCGCAAATGTCTTTCTTCAATTCCTGCAACTATATCAGTGTTGTGTTCAACTAAACAGGATCAGTTTTCACACCGAATAAGTAAACTGTGAGGAAAGTGACACAAAAAAATGTTTCAGGGATGGTTAGATCCAATACTCAAATTCGCCAAATTTTTTAATGTCAAAGAATCTTAGAAATGGTGAAAAAATGTTAATTAAACTTTATAAAAGCACCATCATCCGTCTTTTACCCTCTTTGGCCTGTAACAATGACTAAGCTTTTGCTCCGTTGTACTGACTGGGATCCAATAATGAGTTCCTGCAGAACAGTGAAGTAGGAAGAATTTTGAAAGACCCTGAAATGAGTCTGACCCTGTGCTGAGGAAGACGACGACGTTTCCTGCAGCGAGGCCGTCGGGTTAAAAGTCCATGTCGTTCCTACAGATTAAAAGTTTTTTATATTTTTTTTATTACATCCTGGTTTGACTTTTGTACTTCTTTACTGTCGGAATGTTTCCAAACTTTTAATATAGAGAACACAACACATCCAAACATCATCCTCCACCTCACCCTGGTCCAGGTTGTGTGCCTCACTTACGTTCATATTTAAGGTCAAGGTCAAATGTCAGGGTTACTGAGAACCTGATCCTCAAAGTTCATGTCTTTAGGGTGACAAAAAAAGTGAGAAAAAGTGAGGATCTGGGGGAGAATCAATTTTCAATCAAATTTACCGCCAGAGTGAGCCACAGCAGGCATGGTGGTTAGCACTGCTGCCTTACAGCAAGAAGTTCACAAAGTAAGGGTTGCAGACCTTTTTTTGGTTCCCGCTGTGTCAAAGAGCAGAAGTTGTGAAATGCCTCCACTGCTCTCCTGTGGATTCAGCTGTCACTGATAGTTGAAAAGACAGAAGCCCACTACCCCCCCGCCCCCCCCGCTCTCCAAGGCCCCTGCCACCCCCCTCCACATATACAGCTTCTGCCTTCAAAAGTACCAGCCACTGCCACTAGCCCAGAGTGAAAATAATTCACTGTTAAACAGGTTAAATACGATGATACCATCTGTCATAGCTGTGCATCTCCCAGAACAGTGTTTTCAATACTGGGGTCGTGACCCCATGTGGTCACCTGGAATGTCAAGTAATTGATAAAAAAAAATTATTTTCAACAAATTATTATTTCTTTTTTTTTTTAAATTAAAACACCACACAATTGAGTATATATTTATATGTAAATGTATATATAGGTCGTACATTTTCTCATTCACTCACAGCCACGTCAGACAAATTTAAATAGCAGAGAGAGAACATTAACTTTAAATTAATTTCTCCCCTCACGGTGTTCGTGTACAGCACGACTTTATTATTTTTCCTTCAGGAAAGACCTCTGCAGCTGCTGCGGCTCATTTGCATACGGCAGCCGGCAGACTGTGTGTTTGCACCGTGTTGTGTCTAAACACCCACGGTTCGCTCCAGTATACGAGCCGCAGAAGGAGATTCAGTATTTTAAAAGTAGAGTTTAAAAAAAAGTGAATTTTCTTTTATAGTGCAATGAACTAAACATGAATAATGTGAATATCTTTGTTCCTGTATTCCAGCTTATTGTCTATGTACAGTTATGAATTCACCACGGTGGTCAGTTTTTTTAATGAAAAAATGATGTGTTCTGCTTATGTACTACACTTACTACATTTGATATATTTAATATAACTTTTTATGTATTTAATGTATTAAATAATTTTGACAGATGTCCACATCCATCCACCTTTCCATCTATACATCAATCCATCCAGCTATTTATCGATCCATCCATTTAAATTTCTAGCAATCAGTTAATTTGAATCAATTCACTTTAGCAATCAATCAATCCATCCTTCCAAAGTTCTAGCCATTCATCATTCATCCATCTTTTGCATCCAAATTGCAGTGAGATTACATGTAATCTGTGTGTAATTTCCAATCTATCCATCTACCTACAGTATCTATCTATCAATCTATCTATCTGTCTATCTAAAAAGTGAAACTACAAATATTAAAATATCAGAGCCAGATCTCCACAAATATTAAAATATCAGAGCCAGATCTGCTGCTCTTCTACAAATGTGTTTTTCTTTTTCTGTCATCACACCTCAGTTTGAAGCTGGCTGATGCTGCCACTAATTTCCTCCTCCTGGTATTGGATCTCACTTCACCACACGTCGTGTTGATTCTACAATCAAACCCAATCACACTCGAATTTCAGGGACCATAGCGTCTGAAACATCATCACTGTGCTGGAGTTGAGGTAATTTGTTAAATGGAGCTTCAGTTTACCTCATCAGCGCATCGATAATGACGAGGTGATCATTGTGGCATAAGAACGGGGGGGGGAGGGGGGCATTTACCGACTCCATCGCCCCCCCACCACCACGCTCCGGCTCGCTCCACTGTTTCCTCTGATCAAC